ATGAAGATATTTTAAATGAAAGCAAACGTAAAATTCAATTATTGGAATCCTTAGACGGACTAACCCAAATTATTGACAAACCGACTCGAATCACCCCGCAATCCAGTACTTTAATTGACCTCATATTTATATCCTCTATGCAAAATGTGCAGGATCGCGGGGTGTTAGACCCTATTTGCAGTGACCATTGTCCGATATATGTTGATATCAAATCTGTTAGACCCAGGTGTTATACATTTAAACGTAAAATATATGATTATCAACATATGGACGTTAATGGTATGATTTCTGACATCAATAATCTTGACACTAATGACTTATTCTTAAACAACCACGTGGATGACGTAGCAAATAAATTAACGACTATAATAAGGAATACTTGTGACAAGAATATCCCAAATAAAATTGTTACTATTCGACCATCTGATCCACTTTGGATGGACAACGAAATTCGATCGCTAATACGTAAGCGCAATAGACATCATCAGCTCGCTAAGAGGAAAAATTCTGTTACCCGTTGGGCTCGATTCAGACAAAGTAGAAATAGAGTAATCTCGGCTATCCGACAAGCGAAAAGAGCGTATGCAAATAAACTAGATGAAACGATAAATCGGTCCACTACGGACAAATGTTGGTGGAAATTAGTCAATAATTACGTGAAGAGAAATAAAAACAACTCTAACTTTCCTCCGTTGATTTTGAAAGATGTCGTAAGCGATGATTTACAAGATAAAACTGATTCTCTAAATGAGTATTTCACTCGGCAATCGCGAGTAGAAAATCCGGATTCAACACCCCCCAATATCAATATAAAGACAATCAATAGTCTATCAGAAATTAATGTTATTAACAGTGAAGTATATGATATCTTAATGAGTGTTAATACTACGAAAGCAACCGAACCCGACGGAATTGGAAATAGAATTCTTAAATTAATCGCTGTCAGTATTTCACCCCTTTTAACGGGACTTTTTAATCTATCACTTCAACAACGCGTATTCCCGGCAGTTTGGAAAGAAGCAAGCGTTATACCGATTCACAAAAAGAGAAGTGTAAATGATTGTACAAATTACAGACCAGTAGCCTTAACTAGTTGTGTATCTAAAATATTTGAGCGATGTATATTAAAACATGCTTTCAATTATCTCAGAGGCAATAACATCTTAACCAATATACAGTCAGATTTCATCCCAGGGGACTCTTGCGTGAATCAGGTGACATATTTGTATAATTTCATAGCCAAGGCAATGGATGAAGGTAAGGAAATACGTGCAGTATTTTGCGATATCAGCAAAGCTTTTGATCGAGTATGGCACAAAGGTCTCGTGCATTAGTAAAAATCTTTGCGAATTGATGGTTCACTATTACAATAGTTTAAAAGTTATTTAGAATATCGATCCCAGCTTGTAGTCATAAATGGTTATAGTTCTAATATTAAACCGGTAAAAGCAGGCGTCCCGCAGGGTTCTGTTCTAGGACCACTTCTGTTTTTGGTCTACATAAATTATATTGTTGAAGGCATTGACAGTAATATACGATTATATGCCGATGATACTTCTATCTATGTAATAATAGATTACCCTTACGTAGCGGCGTTTAGTCTGAATAATTATCTACTAAAAATAGCAAACTGGGCAAAAACCTGGAAAATCGATTTCAACCCATCAAAAACTAAACCAGTCTTATTCAGTAGGAAATCAAATTCATATCCTCACCCAAGCTTGTTTTTCAACCACGTTCGAATTGAAGAAACTTCGAGCCATAAACATTTAGGTAAAACTCTTCAAAACGATTGTACATGGGATATTCATATAAACGATATCTCTTACATAAATAAATAAATCTCTTACAGACATCAATGATTTTAATACTGCCTTAAGTCCCAGAGCTAAAGACATTCATTTCGATCCAAATATAGGTTCAAGAGTTTGTCAAATCGTCCACGGTCGCTTACGGTTAGGATGTAGCTACCTCAACGCTGACAAACACAACAGACATATATCAGAGAGAGCAGATTGTTTGTGGGGCACCCTACTGAAGATGCGTCATTATTTCTTTGTATGTCCCAGATTTGATGCTGTAAGAGTAAAAAAATTTATTATACCAATGTCTTTTCATTAGAAACAATCTTATACGGGACGTCTTCCATGAACCCACAAATTCAATCACATATCTTAAGACCAGTCCATCTATTTATAATTGAAACCAGGCGCTTTAACTGAGCAAATCATATATTAAAACCTATAATTCTCAAAGCTACTAAATTCTCTCAATACTATGGATCCCGACTGCAAATGCCATAAATGTATACAACCATCATGATTTTAATTTTCCGACTACATGTCATACCATCTACTTTCATTTTAGATATCATCTTTTCTTGTCATGATACTGTTTCATATATCTATGTATATTGGAGCGGTTTTCATATAAGTTCTTTTGAGCTTGTTGACCAATCCAGTTCATGAAAATTCTGTCGTTCCTTTTTTATGAAAGAAATATGTTTAAACCATATTTTCCGCCTTCTTTCTATCATTTCTGGATTGCTTGTAGTCAACGCTAGACCATGGCTTAAGAATATGGGGAACCGTACTGGAGTTTGAAATCATATTTACTTCATCAAGAAAAGACTTGAATAGGATCAGAAACATTCAGACATAGTTCAGGTGCTAATCTGTTAGCGCATAATATCTTGAATAAAGACCAGTCGGCCTATTCAAACTTCCAACTTGATGATGATGGGGCATCATTCGGTGTTTACAGCTGAGAGAATAGTGGGAAGTGGGTCACTTCCACAAAGGTCACCGAGGACTGACCAGTCAAATTCATTATATTAACTGGAGTTCACAACCAATACATCCAGACAGGGGTATGAACCAGTTGCAGGATGAAGATAGGTGTTAGAACCATCACTGAAAGTACATCAATCGTTATTTGAGAAGAGGTCCTTGATTATCGTTCCTTTTGCACTAGTGTTATTACTACCCCAAAGCATGCAATGCTTTGTACATACTGCCCGGTGATCATCTGTTGCCTAGAGCTATAATTTATTGTGTTCTGTTGAATGTTTCAAATATTATTGAACTTTGTATTTTTTCACAAATATGTGTTTTGTTCTAAAATATATACATAACTGGATGTATAACTCTCCAAACCATTGGTGGAAATAAAGAACATTCATTCATTCATTTATATACTGGACAAAATAAGTTAGGGATATTGGTATTTTTATGATTGATATTTTATCAGAGTGTCAATGAATAAATAGATCATTATTCATAATTTCAAAATTTACATATATCCCTAACTATTTTTGTCTAGTATATTATAGTCTCCCATAACCCTTAAAGGGAGGCTCACTTTTATGTTATATTTTATGAGTATGTTTATATAATGTATTTTTTGCGAGGGGAGACTGAAATAAAATATCTGCCTGTCCGTGTGTCATCCCCAACCTCATTGACTGCGTCCAACGAATCAACAGTCTACCGCGGAGGTGAAACTGGCTAAGCACAGACTGAACCCTGTTGACGCAGATAGTATGTGACAGCGGATCTGGAAAAAAACAAGAACACTCACCGACGACTACTGTTTGCACATCTTCTGGAGGAGTGATCTTGACTTTAATTAAACTTCTGCTTATCGTAAACAAGGTGTCTGTGTTAGATCAGGGATTTACAACAACGTTATATAGTCTCCCTGGTTAGATTGATAAATAAATATGCAATAAAAATGCCTTTGTGTTTAAAGTTTGGGCACCCCGGTTAGCAGTAAAATAGATTAATCAGAATGCATACTTTGTCTGACCAGCAAAGTCACTCATCCCTGACCATGCTTGCTCTACCAAACTGCGACTGTTTACCTGTTTTTCAAAACTACAATAAACGATGGGTTCGTGTGTTTACATGCGATTTCGCCGAAATAGTGTGTATTTGACACTATTATTTACTGTAAATCACTGTCCGGATCCAGTACTCGGATATCCGGATAACTGAAGCATTTAATGTGGCATATATTTTGTTTGTAACGGCTTGTACAACGCAAAAAAACCCAACTGCCATCAAGGTATGTAGTGTCACTGACGGGGCCTAAGCACGGATCCCTTTATGTAGTGCTATATACCTTGACGGCAGTATTTTGCGTTACAAGCCCCTGTGAACGAGCACTCGGAAGCCCAGACACTTTCTTCATCTTTATGATGAATTATTGGCCATGGATACCTGCTGTTCCAGTCATCAAGTGTTTTTTAATGCTTTGTTTCCGTCATGTTTTTTCATCACCTCCAGCTCAACGGGGTGAATAGCAGTTCAGACTAAATCTTCTTCGTCTACAATTTGATTGACAATATAATCCGAGATGCAACAGTGCTGGATAGTGTCGTCAATAACACAATTCTCCAATCTGCTTCAGCAATCTGCCGTCACATGCAATCACTGAAAAGCTTCGTTGGTCGCCATTTTTAATGCGCTTGAAACCAGTGCAAACAAATTCAAGCATGAATGTTAGAGAATTTCCCCATTGGACGCTATTTATAGATGCACCAATCAGCGATCATTTAAGAAAACCATGCTAGTTTTCGGTGCTTGCCGCTCCGATTATAATAAAATTCGATTCTTTAGTATACGCAAAAAAAATCAAGATGAATAGTTTCGACTGACTGACTGAATCTGATACGCAAACAGTTTATGTGGTTTACGTGGTTTCAAAACTACGCACATTTATTTTAATTAAAACGTAACGGTAATATTTGATGCCAGCAGAGACCATATAATAGATATATGGTCTCTGATGCCAGTAATTTTCCGCAGACATGTAAAACTTACTTTTTAAAAATATGTTTCTTAAGAATACACCGTTCATCTGGAATTCTAAATTCAGAGGGATTTAGTCATGTCCTACCTGTATTTGTATTTATGCTGCTTATGTTACTCTACATCCCTAAAACTAGAGCTGGCTTTTAGCCATCAATAACAGGAAATATCGTCATTAGAACAAAATGATAATGATTATCTGCTTCTAAATTCTATTCAGGCGCTCTCCGATATTTATAGCCAGACGTACTTAAAACTCCCAAGTTGGCACCACACTTGCACAATTATAGTCTCTCTTTGCTCAAATGTTTTCTGACTTCACAAAATGAAAGGTTGAACCAAATATTTATGTAAATTAGGAAATGATGTTTTCTGACTTGATACCTCTCTACAAAATGAAAGGTTGAAACCAAATATTTATGTAAATTAGGAAATGATGTTTTCTGACTTGATACCTCTCTACAAAATGAAAGGTTGAAACCAAATATTTATGTAAATTAGGAAATGTCTCTTTTCAGTTTTTTTAAGTAGTGTATTGTGGCATTTATATTGTTACAGTTAACATGTTACTGCTGTATTGATGTTGAGCTGGGTATAATGTAATAAACTGACAGTTCAGTCAAACAGAACACCCAGATCGAAGCCCTCACTGGCTGGTCGTGGAGTCTGTGTATGAATGCCCCGCTCTTGTTTCACACACATCCCGAACAGCCCTGAGGGACTGCACCCACTCCTTCACTTGTTCAGTTTTGAATTTTCCTGAAAATACAAATGCTAAAATATATCACCTTCTTTTAGTTCAGAAAATCTGTATTCTGAAATATTTGTGAAAGTAGTGTCAATGTTTCTTTTAGTGTGTGTCAGCATGATCATACAGGTCTTAGTATTTTACTGTTTCTGTGAAACCCATGAACATAGTTACCATGATAACAAACTGTTAACATGATCTGGGCAAATTGAGATTCTAACATAATCAGGCAAAACCACAAACGTCATACCCTGTACAATGAGCAAGGAGGGTTCAATGATAAGCTCGGAGCTGCACAAAGAAGGAGCTTTGTAATTGGGAAGTCTTTTGTTGTGGACTGTAGATGATGTAGAAAGGTACAACTGAGTCATTTTAGCAAATTGTGAATTAAGCAAGCAAGGTCTCTGACCATTTGAAAATGTACAAAATGCATCAGGAACAACATGTTCCATTTAGTCTTTACTGCTTTTGTTAAACCCTGTGGATAGAATATCCAAAATAGTAGATGCATTTGACATCACCACTTCCAAAGAAGGATCAACTGGAAAGGTTAAGACTTCCATGTTCTGAGATGCCAAGGGTGTCATCATAAACAGAGACTATAATTCTGTATTCCTGAGACAATTACTACAAAGAAACATGAGATGCAGAGAAAATATGTACTCTTCCTTCTGGACAATGTACCAGTGCACAAACTGGGCCATTGTCATGGCTCCAATCATAAAGCATGGCTTTGAACTCCTTCAGCAACCACCTATTTTCCTGATCTGGTTTTGTTTGACTTCCATTTATTCTCCAACATGAGGAAAGCTCTATCCACAGTCTTCTACAAAACTTGGATCAAATCCCTTCAACAACGTTGGCAAAGAGTGTCGATGTGTGAGATCAATATGTTGAAAAAACTTTAGGTGAAGTCAGGCTAAGAACATATCAATGAAGACTTACTTTAGCATGGTTTGCAACATGGTTCATATTGTGGCACTTTTGAAGGTTCAGGTATCATCACACTCTTTTGAACATCAACACATTTGAAGCCCATCATATGTCACAGTATTTCAAACATGTCTTTTGTGATGGTCATATGTAATGTTGGTTGATAATTATGCAACCAAGAAAACCATTACTGTGATCATTATGGAATTCTAGATGGGACCTCATTGCACTGTCGTCAAAATCAAACAAAAGTATTGTCAAAATTCACAAAAGAATAACAATGAGAAAATAGAACAGCGCGACATTTTGACTATTTGTCACACTGTTGCATTTTGAATATGTTTTGAGAAAGGATGATAATGTGCCAATGTGATATTTTTCATGGCAAAAATATGTCATCCCATTTGATGTGTGTAAAACACACATTAAAAGGTGAGCTATTTCCACAATGTGATATATTATTCATATTTCATTGTCACCCTTTCAACTGATGATAGCTTGAATGGTTAAAATACCTGTGTATCAACTGCAATTTGGGTAGCTTTTTCCCAAAGTTAAAACAAATCATTCATTGTTCCTTCAGAAATTATATACTGCTAGTGTCAGTGTTGTCATCTGTATCTATCCTCAAATCAATAAGAGGACATGATTGGCCCTGTTGTTTTAGACAACACAATTTGCTGTGCAAAGCTCCATTCCATATATTTATGTACCAGAAATTTATGATTGTGGATTTGAATTCTTGCACTAGTACTAGCATATCTAGTCTGTCTCACAGTCCCCCGAACCACATTATTTTCCCTACTGCCTAGCCCTCCCTGCAGTGTAGTCTGTCTCACAGTCCCCGAACCACATTATTTTCCCTACTGCCTAGCCCTCCCTGCAGTGTAGTCTGTCTCACAGTCCCCCGAACCACATTATTTTCCCTAATGCCTAGCCCTCCCTGCAGTGTAGTCTGTCTCACAGTCCCCGAACCACATTATTTTCCCTACTGCCAAAGGAGAGTCTTTAGCAAAAATTTAACTTTGTAGCCATCAAAGGAGATTTGGTCACAGAGAGACTGGAAGAGGCTATTGTTGTGGCACTCGTCTATCGTCTATCGTGGCCGTAGAAATTGTTGCAATGGGCGTAACTGCAACTGCCCTCTCTCAGTCAGCTCTTGTGTTGAGGTGCAGAAAGCTAGAACTTCTTGCTATTGCCACTTGTTTAAGTCCCTAAAGGTAGTGTACTCGGCCCAGTTCTCTTCATTATTTACATAAATGACCTCCCTCGTGTAGCTCAATCGACATCCCATATGTTTGCAGATGACCCCAAAGTGTACAATGTGTCAACACCACAAGGAAACACAGTTTTTCAAGAGGACATAGTCTATTCAACTAGTCATCTGATTGGCAACCACGCTTCAACGCAGGCAAGTGTAAAACACTTCACATGGGGACAAACAATCACAGACATGTACATTCCAGGAACTAGAAAAAGATCTTTTTGTTAACATGGACTCTGAATTATAATATTCAAAGCACGTTGAAATCCAAGAAAGAAAGGCAAACTGAATTCTAGGACTAATAAGGAGACAGTGATCTAGCAATGGTAGCTGAAGCCATCCAGGAGATCCAGGCAATATCCTTGAAGACGATTTGAGACTAGTGGTTGTATGTTGTTGGAGCAAAGTTGCAAATGCATCCTATGATCCCAAAATGTGGATAGGATACACCATCTGGGGATTCAATACTCTTGCTCTCTGCTGTCCTCTCCACAATAGAAGCATCCCGGTGACCTTGTGTGATGATAGCCTTGGCTGAACAATATATACCCATGGAAACGAATATGGGATCACATGAAAGTACATGTGTTCCCTTATTTGTTTCCTTGAGTATATGATTGTACTGTGTCACTTCAAGTGTTATGAGGGGCGGTGGGGTAGCCTAGAGGTTAAAGCGTTGGCTCGTCACGCCGAAGACCCAGGTTTGAATCCCCACATTGGTACAATGTGTGCAGCCCATTTCTGGTGTTCCCGCCCTGATGTTGCTGGAATATTGCTAAAAGCGGCGTAAAACCAAACTCAGTCAGTCAGTCAAGTGTTATGAGTGAGTGACTATGGTTTTATGCCACTTTTAGCAATGTCACAGCAATATCACAGTGGGGGACAGGAGAAATGGGCCTCATACATTGCACCCATGTGGGGAATCAATCTTTGCGATGACGAGTGAACGTTTTAACCATTAGGCTATGCCACCGCCCCTCTAAGTGTTATGAAGATTATGAAGGATAGGGATTGATGGGGATCTACCAATCTAAAAGGTGTAATCTCTACTTCAACATGAGAATCTGTGCTCTTTTCCTCCTGAATAGTTGGTGTTGGTATAGTTGTCTCCAACGATAAGACATGCCTCTTGTCTCCTGGAGTAGTGGTAGAGGTATTACAGCCGCTACAGGTACAAACATGGTTATAAGCTTCAAATCTTCATTAAGTTACAAATTCGAAGTCTCATCCATGGTGATGGTGGGAAAAATAGTAGGTCTTTAGCAGTAGATGAAGGCGACTTCTTAGGAATAATGACAAATCTCTTGGTCTTCTCTTGCCTGAAGCAAGCTACTGTGAAGCCTTTATTGAAGAAACCAAGCCTTGACACTGATGATCTGGCCAATTATAGACATCTCAACTCTATCCAAAGTGCTGGAAAAGGTTGCCTTACTGCTCATTTGAAAAACCACAGTCTAAACAATGCATTCCAGTCAGTGTATTGAAGCAATGACAGCACTGAGACAACTTTACTTCATCAAATAGAGTGGTCTGACATTACCATTCTCGCCAACAACCAAACGGACTTCACTAAATGGAAGCTCACCAAAGCCATTCACATCAAATGCCATAAGCCCACCATCAACCGTGACCAAGGATACTTCATTCCAACCGCTTATGATGCACTCCTCCACCAAGCCCAATCTATTGTATAAACATCTCCTTCATTGTAACTACTCCTTTATTTGTACATCTCTGGCTTCCATTCACTACCCTTTGTGTACTCACTGGCTTCATCAGCTTACTGCTTAACCAGTTATGGCTATTATGTTGTTTTCTTTGTCAATTATGTTGTCTCATTGTTATATTCAGTATATATATATATATATACATCTCCTCCACTTCATGTGTCACTCTTGCTTGACAGCGGTACAAGAATCTGTATCGAAACGTCGCACTTACGAAATAAAGAAGTTGTTATCCATAAAAAAATTGTCCTACATTGTACGTCTTAACTTCTAAAATGCCACTCAAACAAACTTTACTTCATGTAATAGATACTCTGCTTGGAGTGGTCGACTCTGGTCAGGTTTGTGTGCTCGTTCTTCTTGATTTATCGGCAGGATTCAATACGATAGACCACAAACAACTTCTTGATTGTCTACAAAATTGTTTTGGAATAGGGGGCTCTGTTCTAAGACGGCTTTCGTCATACCTAAAAGAACGATCTCAATTTGTGCTCATCCAAGATGTTAGATCTCAGAAACGCAACCTTTCATGTGGTGTCCTGCAAGGCTCAGTGTTGGGACTGATGATATTCCCTCTCTACACCAGCAGTCTTGGGGACCTTACTACTCAGCACAAGATCTTACGTCACTGTTATGCTGATGATAATCAACTCTTAAGAAAACTCAATGTCAATGATGCAAAATCAGAAGTTGCAGAAGTTGAAGAGTGTGTAGAAAATGTGAAGACTTGGGTGATTGCCAGTAAACTCAAATTGAATGATAACAAAACAGCCATTCTCATGGCTTGTTCACCAGCCAACAGAACTAAACTGAGTTTGAATTCACTTAAGATAGGTGAATCTCTAATCTCTGTAAGCCCTTCAGTCTAAAACCTGGGTGTCTTGACACAATCTACACTTTGTATGGAGCCACATGTAAGTAACTTACGTAAAATCTGCTATCATCACATTAGGAATATCTCCAGGATACGCCACCTATTACCCTATTAACAACTGGCGCAACACACCATCTTTAAGATCTATGATGTTGTCCCGCTTGGCCTACTGCAACAGTTTGCTTGGGAACGTGAACAAGGACCTGCTGTCCAGGTTGCAAAAAAGTTCAGAATGCAGCTGCCAGATTGATCTGCAGAACCACCAAACACAGCCACATCTCCCCAATCCTCATGCGTCTGCACTGGTTACTACTGTCCACAACAGAAATCCATGGTTCCACCTCTTCTGCCAGAAAGATATAAGTAGTAAGCCAAGCAGGATAGCTGGATGGTCTTTGTAATGGATGGGCACTGTTTATCCAGGTGTAGATCCCTGTGTGACATCTGGGTTGAGAAGTCTTTTTGGATTGTTATTGTAAAAGAGGACTCCCCTTGGCAGGTCTAACTGATAGACATGATTTATTCATAGCTTTATACAGAACTTTTCATGATCAGTAAGTTCACTCTTGAGAAAAACTGTCATACTGGCAATATCTGACCCTTACATAAGGTGAGGGGAAAACACAATACATCTTGTTTACAGACTAATACAAATGAATGAACTTTGTAAGCATTGAAAGACAACAAAATATAGCTTATGTTGTGCATGATACATGACAGTGTCCTCATTAGTGTCAACTGTACACCAAACTCAAATCTCTCATAGAATCTTACCTTTTGTGCTGTCAAAGAAGTCTTGAAGGTATCCAGGATTCCTGTCCATCTGTTCATACTCATATGCTTGCAGGATCATTTCAAACTTGTCTACATCTTTTATAAACTCTGCTTCTTTACTTCCTTGATCTTCATACTCCTAAAATCAAAGGCTGAGCATTGGAACTACAAACGTATCAGCAGTAAAGTGAATAACTGAAACAGTACTATCTGTGCATTATATCACAGACCATATATACAATAAGTGTGTACTTTTAACTGTGCAGGGCTTCAGATAATTTTTCAACATCAGGAGTACTGGAAAACCTTAAGAGTACATTTAGTTTACTGAATGGAATTTAATGGAGTATCAGTAATCGTGTGTTTCGTTTCATATATGCACCACAACATCGCTACTCATGTGTAAACAGGTCAATAAACAATAAATAAATAATGTTTCAGATAAATACGTCTTTAAATGATTCTAAGACCATACACCATTGCTGTGGTGCGTATCTGCTACGTTTTCTAAATTATTTCCTACCGTATCGTGCATATTTTTTATCCGTACATACGCCGATACGGCCCATATCTGGAGCCCTGACTGTGCATTATGTACAATAAGTGTGTACTTGGAGTATGTAAGCAGAATGCTAAACACCCTTTATGAGATACTATAGAGCTATGAACCAGTTTGTGAGACAAAATTTCCCTGACAAATATTCAAGATGGAAGAAGAAGACTTTGTATTCTGATGTCACACAATGTAAATCTTCCTGTTGATGCTAATCACAGGATTTGTCTCTTTCTTTTTTAAGATGCTATATGGTGGCGGTCTGTAAATAATCGATTCTGGACCAGACAATCCAGTGATCAACATCATGAGCATTGTTCTACGCAATTGGTATATTATGACATGTGTCAACAAAATCAGCGAACCTGACCACCCAATCCCGTTAGTCGTTTGTTACAACAAGCATGGGTTACTGAAGGCCAATTCTAACCTGGATGTTCACGGGTAGACACTTAAAGACATAGTTGCAAATGCCAATATCATTCTTCCACTGGTTATGTTGCTGAGGAAACACATGGAAATGCACTATTTCATTTTGACACTGTGTGAAAATCAATCAATATTTCATCCATAAAAAACAGATTCATACAGAGAAGCACATTTCTTGCTGATGTTATTAAAAAATTCTGAGAAAAAACTTTTATTTATCACTCATTCAGTTTTTATAACAACAGAAATGACTCCGAAGTACAGACCAGTCACCAACCCTGGTTTAGTGGTGCACAAGATCTTCAGAATGAAATGAAAGGTGAGATGAATGGCATGCCCTTACACCAGTTTGTCATGTCCTACCTGCCACAGGCTGTAGATCTCTTGCCCAACACTATCTTCCACCAGGCTGCAGATGTATTTCATGGCAGTCTGAAATACAATTTGTATTTAAACATAACGACAAATGAAAGGTTCAACCTTTGAGAGGAGTATGAAATTTGCCAAAAACATTTTGTTGGTTAGGTTGAATAAAATGAAATTCAGGAATAAAATATATTATTTATATTTCTTCTTCTGATTCAACAGTCTGTTGATGAGTCTTGAAGATTTTAAGACACATTATCTACTGGTTGTAACTGAAGCATTTTACAGAATTGACCAGGCAGTACTGAATCAAGTTCTATAACTTCTTCAGTAGATGCGATATTCAACTTAAAAAATAATGATGATAACTACAGATTCTCATGAAGATAGGCCTTTGAGATTTCTGCAAAATGATGGACTCATCTTTGAAGGTAAAAATGTGCCTTCACAATTCTCACAAATTGATAAGGTAAAAAGCCAAATGATTTGGCTATAAATGTTTTGGAGCGTTCTGAAGGAACTAATGTAAACATCATAAGTTCTATCCCAGAAAATATTCCCAGAATAAATTTATTTCTTGAAGAAAAAAATGGCACACACCACTGTACAATACAAAAATTCTAGAAGGCTAAAGTAAGGAAAAGAAATATATCTGCAAAAGATACCTGCATTGATACTGTAGACAAAATCTTTTCAAAGCACATAAAGAAGACTGTGATGTAAGACATTTAAAGACGTATCAATTACTGTAACTAAATGCCAGTACAATACATACAATATTGTAAAAACAGTACAATACATAGTCAACCCTGACTTTGAAACTCTAATAAGACAGGTTGAAAATACTAAATACAGACCACAAGCCTAATTCAGTTATACATATAAAACTCAAAAACATAACATGTAGTTGTGAGGTATGATGGAAAAAACACATGGTCCTGTGATTTATAGAGGCCTCATGCAGCAGAAATGTTCCTAGAATCCCTCCAAACTGAAGAGTGAACAGTCAGGGAGCATTTATCACATACAAAACCCCTGTGTATAACAAAGGCTGATTGAGAGTAGAACTAAAACAATACCAAGGGCCATCAAAACGTTTGAGCCTCAAATACTTCTGATATGTGCATGATAAAAATAACTGTATGATATTGAAGAAAGGTTTATATTATTCGCATAAGCGTCATATCAACATGCACATGTCGCTAGTTTCCCATCACGTGACATCTAATCACATGTACCCCTATTGAAATGGCAGAAATGGATAAGCTTGAGTACAGAGCAGTCATAAAGTTGTTGGTTCTCGAAGGCCACCCAGTGAAGCATATTGAAGAGATCACTCTTCAAGGCTGTGCTTCAGAGATCCAACAAAGTGTCAAGGACATGTTCTTGGCTTTGTTTCCATAATCTGTTAGTGTTCTTCAACAGGTTTTCATAGACAACATTGAAAGTATGGTAGGTATACAAATCTTTTCAAATTTTTGTTCTTTGGTAGGTGGTAAAAGCAAAACCACATGACAGGTATATTATATTTCATATTAATATTTGTCAAGCTCTACAGTAAAGATACTGAAGGAGTGAGTGAGTGAGTTTGGTTTTACGCTGCTTTTAGCAATATTCCACCAACATCACGCCTGGGGACACCAGAAATGGGCTTCACACAATGTACCCATGTGGGGATTCGAACCCGGGTCCTCAGCGTGACGAGCCAACGCTTTAACCACGAGGCTACCCCACCGCCCAGATACTGAAGGAAGCACCCAAGAGATATATGCATAAACCCCATCCACCAGCTTTTCATAGACTCGACAGTCTTGTTGAAAATGTCTTCAGCCCTGTGTACAACTGGATTAACAGAAGCAATCCATTCTATTAGGACTAAATAGTTTTACCAGTATACCGGTATACCGTAATACACTTTTTGAACAATATGTGTTTGAAAAAATTGTTCTGTGTAGTGGTATATTGGGTGAAAAAAATATCACAACATATTATCTCTATAGTTTAATTCTTGGCTGAGGACTGGGAAAAAAAGAGTTCAAACTGATAACAGTCAAAAGTATATCAAAAGTGGCATTTTTTTGGGAGAAAATTTCATTTAAAAAGGAATATCTGACAAAAACATTATCAAGGCTGACCCATACAATCCAGTGAGTGATACTATGAGCATTGTATATTATTTCCACCTTCCCTGTATTATGCTCCCAGTAAAGCGCTCACCTCCCCTTCATTTGTATGCTCTTGAACTCACCTCCTCCTTGTTATGTTTGTCCTCCTTGCTTATGTCATCTTGTGGTGTAATATCACCCACAATACACTCAGCCATGTCGTGAACAAGAGCAATCTTCATACACCTACATTGGAAATTAACATCATTTAAATTTATGTGAATAAATTAACAAATTGTGACATTTCTGAATTGAGTGAGTGAGTTTAGTTTTACGCCGCACTCAGCAATATTCCAGCTATATGGCGGCGGTCTGTAAATAATCGAGTCTGGACCAGACAATCCAGTGATCAACAGCAGGAACATCGATCTGCGATGTGTCAACCACGTCAGCGAACCTGACCACCTGATCCCGTTAGTCGCCTCTTACGACAAGCATGGGCATTTCTGAATTGAATGAAAACTGATGAATAGAAGAAAACCTTGATGCAAAGCATCATGACAGCAGCAAAGGCTGTATTCATCAAAACAAATGTACAGTGAATTTTGTTCCCTACAATGTTAAATAAACATGGGCATGTTTAACACAATAAGAACAATATAGGAACAATAGTCATCATTGCTAAAAATTCTAAGAATAATCGTCTAGTACATCAGCCAATCAGAATTTAGCTGTTCAGATTACAAAGGTGGGAAAATCCTCACTTCCTATCCAGGGACAGAAGAATGGGGAAGAGGGCGGTAGATGGTATTCACAGAATTGCTAACAATGGTAACTATTGCCTGATAGTTCTCCACCTCTATTACATCACTGCCAGACTATACCAGAAAGAAACAGGCTGGTTCTGGCTCTGCCATACTGCCAGTGTAGTGGACAGTTGTACTATCTTCCTGTTGATTCACCCCAGAAATGCTTGGAAAAATATGCATAGTCTCTTCTTTGCAAGAACGTGCAATATTTACTTGACACGATATTTTGCACAATGTATAAAAATCACTAATTATCCCTAAAAGTATTGTGACTGTTGGACGATGTATATCATATGTCATGAATAAATGATAATTGTGTTTCAATTATGTTTATTTTGTTGGTTGCATCTAAGCTTTAAAGGAAAATTAAGTTCCATGGATAGTCAACTTCTTTATTCCAATGAGTATTGTATTATGACCGATAAGTCTATATGCATGCAATTCATTGTGGCGGGTAGTTGTTTTCACGAAATGTGAAAGTCTTGTTTGCAACGTGTGAATTTAATCAGCATGAATATATTTTCTGTACGAGAAAACACATATTATCATGTATATAACTTAGAGAAGTGAAAAACAATGTTCAAGTACTTGTAAAATAAACAGTCGTGGATGAATAATGTCAAACATCACATACATAATATAATACAATGTTCAAATACGATTTAAAAATAGAATGGACATAACTGTAATCTATCTTTTTTGTTATCTGTAGGGGTTTATGGTGCATGATGTATAAAATGATTGTATGGGTGAATGGTGGATATCTATTGCTAATTTCTACAATCACTGCATTTTAATAAAGATAAATTTAAGTATCGGTATATATACTGAACATCATCGAAATCGCACCACTTATAAAAGTTCAGATTATTAAAAGCACGTGTAAGGAATTGATATTTTTTGAGTGGATAATAACAGAAGGACAACTGACAAAAACAACAACACAGAAAAGACCCTCATTCATTGAAATGTTCCACAGTCAGAAAGGATCAAACACACGTGGGGTCAAATCGAAAAGTCAATATTGAGTGTCACCGCCATTTGCATTGACACATGCAGTTCAACGTCTCCTCATTGAGTCAATAAGTGTCCGAATAGAGTTCTTGAGGATGGCATTCCACTTCTGCAGTAGTGCAGCCTCAAGTTCCCGGATGTTTCGCATCTGTTGTCGCCGCGAAAGACTTTGACCAATTTCGTCCCACAAGTGCTCCATGGGGGATACATCTGGCGACTGTGCTGGCCAATGAATAACCTGGATGAGTTGCTGGGCCAGATACTGCATGGAAAGTCTTGTTGTGTGTGCCCATGCGTTGTCCTGTTGAAAAGTATGGACATCTTGGTGGTGATTGAAGACAGATACGATGTGATTCTGAAGAATCTGCTCATGGTAATAAAGGGCATTAACTCTCCCCTGACAGACATGAAGGCAGTCCTGTGATTGTAATTTATTCCACCCCAGACAATGACACTCCCACCACCCAAAGGTCTGTCTGAACCACATACTCATCAGCATAACGTTCACCACGTCTACGCCAAACACGTAATCGGCTGTCAGCATTACGTAGATGAAGATGTGACTCGTCAGTGACTACCACACCATTCCATTGTTGTAACCTTTACTGAAAATGCCTGCTAGCCCATTGTATACGCTCATTACAGTGTCGGTCAGTCAGAATTGGTCCAACGTAAGGACGTCGAGCATGGAGCCCTGTAGCGTGTAGATGGCGTCGCATGGTGTCAGCGCTGATGACCCCCACATAAACCTTGAACTAGTGCAGCAGTCCTGGCAGTCGGCAGTGTTCAATCACTGATATGGACAAGGTCAATATGGCGATCCTGATGGAGCGTCGTAACACGTTGTTGCCAAGGTCATTGAAGGTCATGGGTGCTGCCTGTCTACTGATGTCGTCTAAGAAGCCTAACGATGGTGGAGTGGCCAAGTCCAAGTTGTCGATCAATATCCCTGCTGCTGGTGCAAACCTGAATCATGCCTAGTGCACATTCTCTTTCGTGAGGTGTTAACCTCGGCATCTCTGTCCTCGTTTCACAATCGTTAGTTCTCATACACCTGCTTTTAATGTCACAGTCAGTATGATTTCAGAATGAAATATGCGCTTTTTTCATGGCGTGGCTACATGTTGATGCATTTTGGAATTAAGAGTCATACTGTGGACAGGAATTTGTTTAAAATAGAGATTTTTTCTGGGTTACATCTTCTTTTTATTCTCGAGTACAACGTTTCAGGGCTTGTTCTGGCCCCATCATCAGGTAAAACTGAACCTGATGATGGGGCCAGAACAAGCCCTGAAAAGTTGTACTCGAGAATAAAAAGAAGATGTAACCCAGAAAAAATCTCTACGTTCATCAAATATCATCTTCTAAAATGCCAATCAAGCAGGATTTTGTTTCTAAAGCATTTTTTCAACTGGACATGCCCTTCGACTTCATGTTAGTAATATTCATTGATCATTGTCATGCTGAAATCCATCTTAATGAAAATATGGACAATTTTAGACTGGTGCGTTTTCAATGATGTTCAGTATATATTAAAATGGCATTTTTGAGATTTTGAATAGAAGAAAATAATATTTTTCAGACACAGAAGAAGCTATGCTAGTTAAATACATATTCGAGGGTACTTCCCAACTTCAATTTCTCATCATTTAAATAAACAAAAACATATTCATACTAATTATACTAATCTCTATAATAAATGACACTGTTTTTAAGTGTTGTAAACATCAAATGATTTATATATTACTAACTTGCACTGTCTACATGCAGTTTGCCTTCCGTATATTTAGATGATTATAACACTCATGAATGACAAATCTCATATCTGACTTTTTAGTACCCAGCCTTTTATGTTTCCTTGCTATAAACTGATTTTTCAAATTCTCACATAAGAAAGTCAATAAAGTCAATCTTTCTTCCTCTTTACATAAATAGATATCTGTATTGTACAGTGTTGTAATTTGATCTGACATTTTTGCATGATGGTGCATGTGTACTTTGATATTACATTACGCATGAATGACCTTTTACCAGTCATAATACATACTATTATCTGTTATATATGTACAAATATAAATAAATGCATAAACATATATGCATGGAATGTGAGGTTAAATTCAAATTTATGTCATCATAACAATATTTGAATTTAAACACATTTTCTATGGAATTTTTATTTCTAACAAAAAGACATAATGCTACAGTTGTATTTGAGAACTGTTACCAAAACAAAAAAAAAACATTTGTCATTTAATTTTATTTAAGTATCATATACTTACTCTGGGGCAGTCAGTATGATCTGCTGCTTGTTGAGACAAGTCTGTACCGGTACTTTACTACAGTTAGTCAGGTATGTATAATAATTATAAATCTCTGCTGTCTTGGCTGCAGATGTATGTGTATCTCTGATTTCATTACATTGAGTTCAGTGATAGTATGAGAACTCAGTTTTCACTATTTCATCGATGCTAAGTTACCTGAGACGTACACTGCCTCGTGTTCTGATGTAGGAAATGCCGTGACAATACACCAAATATTCATGGCGTTTTTCCCCTTATCTCCTATCATGTCAATTCGTATTGCACATGGAGATTCCACAAACGATGCTGATCTCAAGTAACAATCAACTCAATATAATGATAGTCATAATCAGGACATTTGAATAGTGCTGATCTCCACACCTAATGGGCATGCTCAAAGTGCACACAACAGTTCAAGTCAATTTCAATATCTCCCAAACAGATTGATTGTTTCTTCACCAACTTCTTATCCTGCCCTTTCTTAATCACCATAGCATATCTTTCATAGACTGATGCTGATAAGTAGTGTTGGGAATTGGTTCAAATCTAATAATTGATGATTGGTCCATTACAACCGATCAATCATCGAAAATAATTAGTTAGCGTCATTTATTAAATGTCCCTGTTATTTTTGTTAATGCATACAAAAAAATAAAGAAAAAACATGTAGTATATTTGGTTTTTTTGCAAATTGCTTAAAGTCCATTTGCAAATTTTGCATATTTAAATGATGATTAGTAGGTTAGGAACACATATTTCCTTGATTCTTTAAGATAAATTCAATCATGACTTGGAACGAGCTTGTATTGCTTATGAAATGTAAATTTAATGACAGTCTAAACCAGCCTTGTGAAAAATATTGATAATGCAAACAAGTGTTCCAAGATTGTTCGTGTTCGATTACGAGAAAACATGTTCGATTGCTTGGTCGCTTAGTCACTGCGACCAATCTTCGATTATTTCAATTAATCGGACCACCACTAGTGATAAGGATGAACAGACATTGCATCTGGTGACAAAGGACCATAGCTAATCTATGCTCTCCTAACATATTCATGGAGATCGTGACTGAGATATCAATTACCACATTTAGCACAGATTTATAATGACCCAAAGGTGAGGA